ATGACAAATAAATAAATTTTAACTATTTATAATACAATAATAAATTATTAAAATATTATATAAGTAATATGCACAAAAATCTTATATAAATTAATTCTAATTCTTTGTTCATGCTTATATATATTTCACATGAAAACTCACAATTATAAATTTTTGGTATTTGGTACTTGAGTCTTAAAAGTAATTTATATCTTTTATTCAACCTAAAGACTTACAAACACGGCACATAATACAAATATTACACGTTGCATAACTTATTAAAGTTGATAGAAGATGTATATGCGCAACACATAATACACATTACATATTATATAGTCAAATAATAAATGAATTACATGGGTATATATATACAATGATTAAGATAAATAAGTCAAGTAAACAGACTAGTAAAATGAGGTAAACGCTAGAACCTAGCGTGGGCGTGGACCCTCCTTTCACGTATTTTTCATGGTATTGAAGGACTTTTGGCAATCAATCATTGTTGAAAATGATACTGTGTCGACATAGATTTTATTTATTAGTGCCCTATCATTTTGCCATGAAACCTCAAATCCAGACCAAAATGTTCAACTATAATTTCTATTTTTTTTTTTTTTAACAAGGGAGATTTTAGGAGAAGAGAGAATAATTTCTAAAATTTTAAATATGTAATGAAAGTAAGTAATGTCAAATAAAATATCCAAAGTTTAAAATATAAAAAAAAAAAATCAAAATCAAAGAAGCTCTCATTATAATAAAAGGTCAAACTTTTTATTTGTACCTTATACATTCTTTTTTTGTCAATATTTTAAATTAATTTTTGTATCAATTAACATCCTCTATAATTTAAAATCAGTAAAAACTTTAAATTATCAACAAAATTATGGTACAAATATGGAATTTGACTACAAAGTCAAGATGTAAATAGAGATTTTGACCATAAATTTGTGAGTTTTTCATAGATTTTGAATAATAAAAGGTGTTGATCAAGACAAAAATTAATTTATGATATTAATTGCAAAAAATATATGGATAATGATTTGCGGGACGAAAGTGGGGAGCGAAAATGGGGGCCGACAAGTGAAGTTGGTTAAATGGGTAATTTTGTAATTTAACCAACTTCACTTGTCTTCACTTGTCGGCTCCCATTTTCGCCTCTCACTTTCGTCCCGCAAATCATTATCCAAAATATATATAATGTAAATAGGGAGTTTGGTCATAATAAAAATAGAAACTAAAAGAGAATAAATATATTTTTGCGAACAAGAGCCACTCCCTGATACCGACGGCAATTTTATCTGTGTCATCACTATTCCATAAACCATCCCCTTCCGAGCCATCACATATCAATCCGGTAGGACGGTTTGATTGCCTAGCCAGTGACGAGGCAAGGTAGGACAATGCTCAACTCTTCTTATACCCAACCCTTCTAGCACAAATGAGGTTGTTGTCACTGATTTTTTTTTTTTTTTTTTTTTTTGGTTAAGGTCAAGGTTGTCAAAATCGAGATTTTACCTAAAATCGTTTTGGTTAGGTGAAATCGGAATCGTAAAATCGAATTAGTAAAATCGAGATTTTACAAAACTTAATATATAATATATAATAAATTATATAAAATCAAAATTAAACAACAATAAATCAAGTTTAGAGTTAGAAACTTGAAATTAACTAATTAAAATATAAATATCGAACAACACAAATAAATTAAACGAAGAAGATGACTTAGATTTAAAATTTTAGATGATTAAATCAAATTTGTCCCAAATTCCCGATTAAAATGTTGATTTGGGATTGGGTTGTGTGGGTCATGAGCTTTTCGTGAGCTTTTAAAATGAAAAATGAACTTAATTTATGGGTTATCTAGTCAAAGCCCATTAACCCAAGATGAGAAACCCAAAAGGAAATAGGTACAAAGTCCAGCTGTCAAATAGGAGGTAAAATCGAGATTTTACCTAATTTCACAGTAAAATCTCAATTTTACGTTTTTGACCTCAGATTTTATGAATTTCCGATTTTGGTATAGATTTTACACGAAATGCCTTGCTAAAATCGTAAAATCGTAAGATTTTACGATTTAAATCTAGATTTTGACAACACTGGTTAAGGTTATTAAATTTTATTATTATTTTATTAATTTATAATTTTTTAAATAGTAATTATAATATATAAAAATATTTATTTATAAATTATTTTAATATATTAAATAATAAATATTAATTATTTTATAAATTATAATTATTTTTAATAATCAAATTAAAATAAAAGTTTAACAATTTTAGGGACTCCATCCATAACCCTTTTGGCATGCTATCTTTATATACTCGGTACTCTATTACCATTTCTTTTCATGTAAGATACCTATCATGCCACATCAAGTAGTCGCAACAATTTGTTCATCTCTAACAGAATTTTATATTATCAAAGGAAAAATAATGGAATCAAGATGACCCCACATGTATCACATCAAGAGATCCATTACACATTCCAAGAGATCCAGCCACGAGAGCTAGAGCTAGGAAGATGCGAAAAGCTTTAAATGGCCTTATTGAGCAGATCTAGGTTGATAATAACATGCAACAAGTAAATCAAACCTTGGATGATTATCAAGGCATGGTAAACATCATTTAGGTTTAAGAGAAGCTTAATTGAGGTCATTATGCTAAATTACATAGTTTGCGTCAAAATCCTATAATTCTGTCGCAATTTGTAACAAACTAATATTTCATGTTACATTAGATGACTTTCAGTGATTTTCACATTTTTTGTATTATTTTGGGCTGAACATTCATTTATTTGAGGCCCAATTTGTGATTATTAGGATTAGGGTTTAGGGTGTTAGTTTCCTATTCTTATTAGAATTACTTTTCTTTATTTAAAGGGCTTGTAACCCTAATTGGGGGTGACAATTGAGTCTAGGTTTTTGAGAGACTTTTCTCTTTGGTTCATTTCAGAACTTTACAAAACTTATCAAGATTATTCTTGTGGCATTCTAACCTGACTTATCATTCTCATTTTTAATCGTTCAAGGGTGTGGCATCAACCAACTTTATACCTCTGGTTCTTGTTGTGTTATAGACAACGGGCCAAGGTTTTTACCTTTGGTTCTTGTTGCGACATAAACAATAGGTCAAGATCCTATTATAAACTTAATTTGGCTTTCCTGGAGTTTAGAAATCCTTTCCCGTGCTGTGGGTCTCATTGTTTTCTTTGGGATTCTTATCATCTTGGTATCAGAGCATCAGATCCTAAATCAGTTTGCGTATCTTTAATTTTCAGTTTTTATCGTTAAAAAAAAAAATTCAGTGTCATTCTTCTCTTCCTTATTTTGCTCTTCTGAATCTATGTTGCTGGTTCAAAAAGAGAGAGAGAGAGAGAGAGAGAGAGAGAGAGAGAGAAAGCACGAAAAAAAGAGAGGAAGAGGATCGCCAACAAAATATAAAAAAAGAAGACACAAAAAAATACAATAAATAAAATAAAAAAGAGAGAGAGAAACAAGCAACACAATTCTATGGTTGGAATTCCTTATATAGAGAAGAAATCAGTGGCCAAATCCTAAGAAGGAATCCTACTCCAATAACGAGTTGGAAGAAGGAATCCTACTACAATAAGAAGTTGGAAGAAGGAATCCTACTACAATAAGAAGTTGGAAATTCTCTTTGAGTTCTCTTCAAACAAGGGGATAGCAAATTTTGTTTATTCCCTCCTAAGTTAGGAGTCCTATTGCATTAAGAAATTGTCAAGTCAAGTTCTACTAGGAAGTGCTTGAACTGATATGTTCGTTTTAATTTGTTTGGGTTTGGTTCTTTTATTGCTTTTCTTGTTCGTTCCTTTGTGTCTTTCTATTTCCTTTGACTCTTGTTGCAAATTTGTTGGAGTTAGATTGCTGCAAAATAACTTGAATTGAGCTTATTTAGTTCAATAACAAATTGAAAGAGAAAAATTGAGTGAGGGAAAAAGGCAAGAGGTGTGAGTAACACTTGAAAGAAAAGCCAAGTTCTACAGTGTGCAAAACACGAGCGTTGAGTGCCATTTTGTGAGAGAGTGGAGTGAAACACATAAAGGAGTGTTGTGAGGTCCTTTTATTCTTCTGTTTCTAACATTCATTGCAGGCTTCAATCATGTCAAGCGGTGATGACAAATCAACCACTAGAAGACACCATGTGGATGAACCTCTCATGCTCAAAGCAATGCAACAACAATTTCAGAGGCTGAACATCATGTTTGGTGAGATTAGAGACAAAATGGAGAAGCAAAATGCAGCTATAGCCAATTTATACCAAATACATAATGGAAGTCCGAATTTGCGTAGGAATGACACTAATGATGATCTCAATGATGATTATGAAGATGCATTCAACAATGATGCCAAAAAGTCAAATTTCAGCATGGATAGATTTATGAGAGGTATAGGGGATCAAAAAGGTAGGTTTAACCAAGGAGAGCAAAATCTAATGAGGTGGGGAGATTGGCAAGATCATGACTTAGGTAGCATCAAGATGAAGATTCCTCCATTTCAAGGCAAAAATGATCCAGATGTGTATTTGGAGTGGCAAAAGAAGGTGGAATTGGTGTTTGATTGCCATAACTATTATGAGGAGAAAAAGGTGAAACTAACAGTGATGGAATTTACTGATTATGCTGTGGTGTGGTGGGATCAGCTTGTGCTTAGTTGACGTAGTAATCGAGAGCGTCCTATTGACACTTGGGAAGAGATGAAAGCTGTGATGAGAAAACGATTTGTTCCTAGTCACTATTACCGTGATCTCTATCAACGATTACAGGGCCTTACTCAAGGGTCCAAAAGCGTTGAGGATTATCACAAAGAGATGGAAATCCAATGGTTAGAGCGAATGTGGAAGAGGACAAAGAAGCAACTGTGGCACGATTTCTGCATGGCTTAAATCGTGATATAGCTAATGTAGTGGAGTTGTAGCATTATGTGGAATTAGAAGATATGGTGCATATGGCAATGAAAGTAGAATGGCTACTCAAGCGTAAAGGAGCCACCACCAAAATTAGGCAAAATTCAAGTTCCTCATCTGCTTGGAAACTGAATTGGAGCAAAAGGAAGAAAATTCTGTTTTTAAGCCTAAAACTGCAGCATTTAAGTCAAAAGAAGTTGGCAGCAATGAGAAGAGTAAAACAAATAATACACAAGGCAAAAACCGAGACATTAAGTGTTTTCGATGCTTGAGAAGGGGGCATGTTGCATCGCAATGTCCTAATAAGCACACGATGATCTTGAGAAAAGATGGAGAAATTGAAACCGAGGGTGAATCTAATGATGAATCTATGCCACCATTAGAAGATGCTAATGATGGTGTGGAATATGTCGTTGATGGAAAACTGCTCGTCACCAGGCGAGCTTTGAATGTGCAAGCCAACGAAGATAATGAAGTACAATGTGATAGTATATTTCACATGCGATGCCATGTCAAAAACAAGGTATGTAGTCTGATTATTGATGGTGGTAGTTGTACTAATGTAGATAGCACTGTTTTGGTTGAAAAGCTTAATTTACCTATGACGAAGCATCCAAGGCCATATAAGCTGCAATGGTTAAACGATTGTGGAGAAATCAAGGTAAATAAGCAAGTTCTTTTTTCATTCTCTATTGGATGATATAAGGATGAGGTACTTTGTGACGTGGTTCCTATGCATACTGGACATTTACTTTTAGGGAGACCATGGCAATATGATAGGAGAGTAGCACATGATGGCTTCAAAAATCGCTATTCATTTGTCATGGAGAGGAAAACAATTACTCTTGCACCATTGAGTCCAGAGCAAGTTTATGAGCATCAACTGAGAGTAACAAAGAGAGGGAGCTGAGAAATGAGAGTGAACTTGATGGTATGAAAAACAAAGAGAAAACAGTAGAAAAAAAGTACAAAAAGAGAGAAAAGATTGTGAGTGTTGAAAACAAAGAGAGAAAATCATTGAGTGTTTATGCAAAAGAAAGTGATGTCAAGGTTGCATTCTTTGCAAAACAGTCTATGTTTGTGCTTCTGTATAAAAATGCTTATTTCAACACTAACAAACTTAATGATTCTTTGCCTAGTATTGTTAAATCTCTTTTGTAGGACTTTAAGGACATGTTTCCAGAGGACACTCCTAATGGTTTACCACCAATAAAAGGAATTGAGCATTAGATTGACTTCGTTCTAGGTGCAACAATTCCAAACCGACCAGCATATCGAAGCAACCTCAATCAGACAAAAGAACTGAAAAAGCAGGTTGAAGAACTCATGAAGAAGTGGCATGTGAGAGAAAGCATGAGTCCATGTGCAGTTCCAGTGCTACTTGTGCCTAAGAAGGATGGGACTTGGCGTATGTGCGTTGATTGTCGCGTTGTCAACAAAATCACTGTAAAGTATCGTCACCCTATTCCTAAATTAGATGATATGTTGATGAATTGCATAGTTCTTGCATGTTCACTAAAATTGATTTAAAAAGTGGATATCATCAGATTAGGATGAAGGAAGGTGATGAATGGAAAACAACCTTTAAAACGAAACATGGTTTATATGAGTGGTTAGTTATGCCATTTGGATTAACTAATGCACCTAGTACATTCATGCGATTAATGAATCATGTTTTGCATGCTTTCATTAGCAAATTTGTGGTTGTTTATTTTGATGACATTTTGATATATAGTAAGAGTTTAACTAATCATATTGAGCATCTATGAATGGTATTAGAGGTTTTGAGAAAAGAAAAGTTGTTTGCAAACCTTAAAAAGTGTTCATTTTTCACAAATCAAATTGTCTTTTTAGGGTATGTTGTTTCAGCTGATGGAATTACAATAGATGAAGAAAAGATTAAGGCTATTAAATAATGGCCAACACCTAAGAATATTTCTGAGGTGCGGAGTTTTCGTGATTTGGCAAGTTTCTACTGGAGATTTATCAAGGACTTCAACACAATTGTAGCTCCATTGACTGAAATCATGAAAACAAGTGTTGGATTTAAGTGGGAAAGTGAACAGGAGAATGCTTTCAATTTGAGTTAGGAGAATTTAATTTCTGCACCATTACTTATTGTACCTGATTTTACTAAAACTTTTGAAATTGAATATGATGATTTAGGTATTGGCATTGGCGTTGTTTTGATGCAAGAGCGATGGCCTATTGCGTTTTTCATGGTTTGGCAAGTTTCTACTGGAGATTCATCAAGGACTTCAGCACAATTGCATCTCCGTTGATTGAAATCATGAAAAAAAGTGTCAAATTTAAGTGGAAAAGTGAACAAGAGAATGCTTTCAATTTGAGTAAGGAAAATTTAATTTCTGCACCATTACTTGCTCTACCTGATTTTACTAAAACTTTTGAAATTGAATATGATGATTTAGTTATTGGCATTGACGTTTTGATGCAAGAGCGGCGGCCTATTGCATTTTTTAGTGAAAAATTGATGGGTGCAGCGCTTAACTACCCTACATATGACAAAGAGATGTATGCATTGCTAAGGCCTTAGAAACGTGGCAACATTATGGTAAGTTGAATAGACAACATGCTAAGTGGGTGGAATTCCTTGAGAAATTTCCTTATGTGATCAAGTACAAGCAAGGAGAAGAAAACATTGTGGCTGATGCATTATCTTGTAGGTACACACTTATCTCTACTTTAAGTGCAAAGTTATTGGGAGTTGAGCACATTAAAGAATTATATGCTAATGATCCAGATTTTGCTAACGTGTTTAATGCATGTGAGAAGGCAGCTTTTGATAAGTTTTATAGGCATGATGGGTTCTTATTTAGAGAAAATCAATTATGTGTGCCTAATTGTTCATTAAGAAAATTGTTAATAAGGGAATCATATGCGGGTGGCTTAATTAATGGGACATTTTGGAGTTAGGAAAACTTTATATATTCTAAACGATCACTTGTTTTGGCCACATATGAAATGCAATGTTGAAAGGATGTGTAAAAGGTGCGTAACATGTGAACGAGCAAAATCTAGAGTTTTACCACATTGTTTGTATACTCCTTTACCCATACCTACTGAACCTTGGGTTAATATATCTATGGATTTTGTTCTGGGCTTACCAAGGTCGACAAGAGGCCACGATTCTATTTTTGTTGTTGTTGACAGGTTCTCGAAGGTGGAACATTTTATTCCATGTCATAAAATCGACGATGCAACCAATATTGCTGATCTGTTCTTCAAAGAGGTTGTTCGTTTACATGGTGTTCCAAGGACTATTGTTTCTGATCACGATGTTAAGTTCTTGAGTTACTTTTAGAAGACCTTGTGGGGAAAATTGGGAACTAAGCTATTGTTTTCAATTACTTGTCATCCACAAACTAATGGATAAATAAAAGTGATTAATAGGATGTTGTCAACCTTATTGCATTCTATTATTCAAAAAAACTTGAAGAATTAGGAAGAATATTTGTCGCATGTTGAATTTGCTTATAATCAGAACGTCTATTCAGCAACTAATTGTTTACCATTTGAAGTTGTGTATGGTTTTAATCCATTCACCCTTTTGGATTTATTGCCATTACCCATTAATGAACGAGCTAGTTTGGATGGGAAAAAGAAAACTGAAGTGGTTAAGCAACTACATGAAAGGGTGCGACAAAACATAAAGCGACGAACTGAGTAATATGCAAATCAAGCCAACAAAGGGCGCAAGAAAGTTGTGTTTGAACTTGGAGATTGGGTTTGGGTGCATATGTGGAAGGAGCGATTCCCGACACAAAGGCATTCTAAGTTGCAACCAAGAGGTGATGGACCATTTCAAGTCATTACAAGGATAAACGACAATGCATACAAGTTGGAGTTTCCTAGTGAGTATAATGTTAGTGCTACTTTTAATGTTTCTAATCTTTCTCCTTTTAATGTAGGTGACGATTTGAAGACAAATCCTTTTGAGGAGAGAGGGAATGATGGGAATCAAGATGACCCCACATGTATCACATCAAGAGATCCATTACACATTCTAGGAGGTCCAGTCACGAGAGCTAGAGCTAGAAAGATGCGAGAAGTTTTAAATGGCCTTATTGAGTAAATCTGGGTTGATAACAACATACAACAAGTAAATCGAACCTTGGATGATTATCAAGGCATAGTAAATATCATTCAGGTTTAAGAGAAGTTTAATTGAGGTCATTTATGATAAATTACACAGTTTGTGTCAAAATCCCACAATTCTGTCACAATTTGCAACAAATTGATATTTCATGTTACATTAAGTTACTTTCAGTGATTTTCACGTTTTTTATATTATTTTGGGTTGAACAATCATTTATTTGAGGTCCAATTCGTGGTTATTAGGATTAGGGTTTAGGGTGTTAATTTCTTATTCTAATTAGAATTACTTTTCTCTATTTAAAGGGCTTGTATTGAATCTGAGTTTTTAAAAGACTTTTCTCTTTGGTTTGTTTCAAAACTTTACAAAACTTATCAAGATTATTTTTGTGACGTTCTAACCTAATTTATCATTTTCGTTCTTAATCGTTCGAGGGTGTGGTATCAACGAACTTTATACCTTTGGTTCTTGTTGTGTAATAGACAACGGGTCAAGATTTTTACTTTTGATTCTTGTTACGACATAAACAACGAGTTAAAATCCTATTATAAACCTGATTTGACTTTACTATAGTTTATAAATCCCTTGTTGTGATTCTCATTGTTCTTTTTGGGGTTCTCACTAAAAAACAATGCGTTAAGATGAGAATTCAATATACCTCGGCAGCTATTGTTTATCATAACTTCAAAACGCAAGCTAAAGATAAAGAACAAAATTTGCATGGATTTCTAATAAACAGAATCTATTCTCATATCAATTTGTCATTACTTAAATATGGAGTTTACATCAGTGTTAGTATCCAAGACATGAATTATTGATTCATGAAATGTAAAAAAGATTGGAAAACAAAAAAAAAAAAGGTAACATGGTGACAACAAAGGAGAATACCAGCCCATTTTCCCCTCACAAAATTCGGCTATTTGGCTACCTGTTCAAGAATAGGAATCTTTTTCCAAGTCTCATCTAATCCACTCATCTGCAGTGGAGGTAATGAGAAAACACTAACGGTAGAGCTTCCGCTTCTAATTTCCTTCAAAACTCGCAATGCTGATATAGTGCTTTTCATGTATAGGCTTTCCATGTACTCGATCTCTGCAAGTTCCTTGGGCATTCTGAGCCTATCTTCATTCTTGGTGCTACAGGACGTTGTAGGGGCACACCCTTCATCACCATCATCTGCATCATTCGAATCATGCTTCTCCTTTGTTGGGAAGAGGCAGTCCAGCAATGTCTCACACTCCTTGACGAGCTTATAGAGCAAGTCAGTTGTGAAGAAGGGCTGTTGCAAGACTTTTTGGATGAATGGCGAGCGAATCAAAGCACCAGTCCTTTTGTCATACTTCTTGAGAATTTTTACCAATCCTGTTGAGAGCATATCATGTTAAACGATGTATCCATGAACACTATAATTTTGTTCATCTAGCTAGTTCTACATCAAATATTTTGTTACTAAGTTAATTGATCTCAACCACGACAAAGATGAGAAGCAACTGAAAACTAAAGGGAGTCATTTTAAGAAGCAAGATATATTAAACATGCTTGGAACAATGTCTATAATCTATGTTTAGTGTGCCTTTCCATAAGTTTTCGTAATTTATTTCATCATGTACTGTCCTTAAAGTATGATGAAGATATTTTATCAAATAGCAGATCAGATTCCTGGGAGAAAATAATGCAAATCTGCTTTACCAAATAACAAATCCTGAAGAGAAGTCAGAGATTTTCATTGGAACAATTTCTACCTAATAACTTTTCATAATAGTTCTTGGGAACTTTTGGGTGAAAACAGCACTAAAATATATCAAATCATAGCCTAACTTTTCTTCATTTCTATTAGTTGCATACTTGCATTGATTTCAGAAAATAAAATTAAAAAAAAGGCATATTCGTAACTGGCCATTAAGGTAAGGCTACACAATTAACATTTAATAGTAGAAATATTCATCTAGACAAGAATATCGAAGAACTGAAGGAAGAAATAGAGAGGACTAAGCTCTTTATAATCAGTTAAAAAAAATGGTCCTTAATCCTTCCGGCCTGCTTCATTAATCATTTCGACACATAATTGAACCAACCACTTGCCCTTGAAGTGGTGTGTGGGGCAAACCTAAACTACCTACACCAGAACTTTCTATAAATAACACAAACTTAACAACTAATACTACTAGTATTCAAAGATTGCCTTTTCCGCATTACCATATCAAGTAAGAGAGACCCTTTTAGAGAAGAGCAAGCACATATTCGCAACTGGTATTCATAAACTGTAAGGAACTATTAAGAATTACTTCAAGATAAGTACCTGTATAGTTAAGGGCGCTATAGTTCTCCAACAAAACCATCTCTCCGTGGAAATCCACTATCTCCTTCCTAATTTTTATCATCTCTTCGTTTGATTCCTTTGCCTTTGCCACCCTATCTTGCAATTCCTGCACTCAACCCCCAAGAGTACACACTATTAATTACAATTCTACATTCTCATGCCCCAAGTGAATCTGAATATGATTGGGAAAACTGTCTTCCATAAAAATTAACAACGTATTTAAACTTGAACAAAGCTAACACTCCCAATCCCAAAAGAGAAAAAAGGATAAAAGAACTCAAAAAGACGATGTTGTTGTTTGAGGGCAAAACGACATCGTTTTACTAGCGAGCGTATCGAATCCGGGCCCTGTTTGTTCCCCGGGAAACCATGGGAAAAAATACAGAAGTTTCCAAATTTGCGAATCATGATCTTTGAGTCTAAGTATTTGATTAAGAAAGTTTCTCCGTAAACAAACAGATTCAAACAATTCCATTACCCAGAGTTAAAAGAAAAAAAGTAAGCGAGGGTCTAAATTAGGAAAATATAATCAAATTACCTTCAATCTGATGATATACTCCTCCTCCTTCTCAACAAAGAATGCGTTGAATTTCTCAAGCTCGTCCTCCAAGAGCCGAATGAAATCCATCTCCTCTCTCGATATGCCATCGCCGACGACGATCTTGTCCCTATCACCAGCTTCCGCAGAGTCACAAGCCTCAGCCTCCAATCTCGGCCGCTTATTCGGCCTCTCACCTGACTTCGGCTCAATAAGCTTCAATTTCTTCTTGAGTTCCTTGTAAGAGAGAAATTTGTCGCGCCATTCCGGCAAGGTCTCCTCGATCTGGTTGCTAAGGCTCTTCCCGAATTTCATTGTTATCACTAATATGTAGAACTGATCTGATTCAGTTACTGAAAGAGGTGTTTGGTTGTAGAGAAAGTGCGGCAAAACGTGGGAGAATGAGTGATGGGGGTAGGAGGAAGGAAGCAGGCGAGGGAGAGATGGGGATATAACGGAGAGAGAGAATATTCGAGGGGTAGTGTTGGGAATATCCGCCGGATTTGTAAGAGTATATCTCTGGTTTTATTCCCCATGAAAGAGAGAGAAAGGAAATTAATTATTAATTAATTATTTCCTTAAGCTTTTACGGGGTAAAGTTTAGCGGCGCCACGTGGCCGTGTGACTTCCTTACCGGCTTGGAGTGAAGCGCTTCGACTTGGGTCGATTCTGTGGCAACAGTGAAAGAGCTGATTGACATAGTTTTTCCTAACAGATATTTTAGTGAAATGGCAATCTTTAACTTTTAGGACTTCGGATTGCACCTATTAGCTTGGGACGTGGTTATAGCGCAAAAATTCTGCTGTATCCGGGGATACCGCTGACTTGGTATCCCGGCCAATCAGAGCATATTATATCATCCATTTTTATCGTTGAGTGAGCTGATATGATTAATAAAATAAAAAATTTTTGATGATGTAACATATTATAATTTATCGGAGATACTAGGTTAGCAATATTTTTAAGATATAACAGACTTTTTTGTTATTGCGACCCAAGATTTTTGTTAATGTGAAGGTTACATATTCTTCTTATAATTTTATTAAATGCTCTATATAGTGGAGAACGGAATTATGATCTAATGGTATTAATCATTTGTTAAAAAAAAAAAAAAAGCTCTATATAGTTATGATATTTATAAATTATTAAATAATAAATATTAATTATTTATTAGTTATTAGTTTTTTTAGTAAATTAAGTAAAATAAGATTTTGATAGTTTGTATGACTCTCAACAAATTTAAGGGTAGTTATTACCATAACTGTTTATTTGAAACATGATTATAATCATACAACAAATTATTAAGGTTACATAATTTTTAAATGTTATTTTTTAAAATACTAATTCTATTTAATTTGACAACTAGCAATAATTAATAACTTTAATTATTAGTTAATAAATAACAAAATACACTATAATAATTATTTAATAGATTAAAAACAATTTATACATTAATATTTTCAAATATCATAATTGATTGTTTACCAAAAAAAAAATTAAATAAAGTTTGTGTCGCCTTAATACTTTTAGTATGTAGCCTTAACTAATCCCATTAGTTTGAGAATTGGAAAAAATGCTATTAACAAGTAATGAATATGAAAATTGAAATATATGATGTATATGAATAGAGTACTAAATCTAATTATTGGGTTTTGAAAATATTTAGTGAATGGTTGTTTTTTTTAAGTTAGAACTCTAATTTTTAATAAAAATTGGAACTAATTTGTATTATTCTCTTAAGTTTATAAATTATTATATATTTAAATTACAATAAATATGTAATATAATTTTTAATTCTAAACCAAATATTAACAAGTAGCTGATGAGTAGCCATGTAAGTTCAAGCTCAAGCTCATTTTTCTATTGAGTTTGATATTAAGCACGAACTTCACTCGAATAGATCATGAGTTACTATCACGCTATCTTACTTATTACCAACCCCAATTAGAAATGATATATTTGTAATTTGATAAAACATTTTAAGTTTACAATTATGATGTTCTGTTGTATGATTAATTCTTTGTATTTGAAGTTATCTATAATATTATATGTATTACTTATTTAATACTATAATATGATTATAAATTTATAATTCTATGTAACATTTTAGGTACATCATTATCCTTGGGAAATTTTGCATGAATGAATCTCCAAACACTTTGATTAATCTTCCATTTTAAAAGTTAAAGGGTAATTTTAAGATTTCTACCAAAAGTTCTCTTTTCTTGCACTAATTAAACTACAATTCCTTAAAAAATTGCTTAGCACAATGTTTTAAGTATACAAATTATGAACAACATAATGTATTATGTTGTGATTAACTTTATTCATGTATTGGTTATGCATGATACTTTTATACGTCCATTAATTTAATCTCACTTCATATTTGGTAATATATGCATAATATAATGTTGCACTATACTTGTAGTATTATTGTAATTTTTTATTTTATTTTTTTAATTTTAAATTATACAATAAAAGATAATCATCTTATATCATTTAATCCACCCACCCACTCACGTATATCATTTGACTAAAACTCACTATAACCTCTTGCTTTCATAAGAAAAAGATAACATATCACTAAATTACTTATATTATGGTATTTTCTTTTTCCTCTTAAGAAAATAGGTTACTAAAAAATCTTAAGGTTGGATCGAGTGATAGAGATGGCATTGGGGTAGGATGGGAACAAGAGGAACAATTTCATTCTCATCGCCGCCAATCTTAGGGATGGAATCCCTGTGAATTCTTCTCCATCCTTATCAATTCATGTAGAGCAAAAAATTAAAAAAAAAAAAATTGTTTAGGATTAATTTCAATTAGTGAATCCAAAAAAATATTAGTAGTTTAAGAATTGTTTAGGATAAATTTCAATTAGCGAAGCCAAAAAAATTGTTTATGAATTCTTT